GGCTGCCCTTAGCATTTTTTCCTTCATTTCAACTCTGGTGAATCTGATGATTTTGTGCCTGGGGTTGCTCTTCTTGAGTAATATCTTTGTGGTGTTCTCTGTATTTCCTGGATTTGAATGTTGGCCTGCCTTGTTAGGTTGGGGAAGTTAATATCCTGAAGAGTGTTTTCCAACTTGAATTCATTCTCCCTATCACATTCAGGTACCTGGTCAAGGGTAGATTAGGTCTTTTCACATAATCCCATAGTTTTTGGAGGCTTTGTGCGTTTCTTTTCACTCTTTTTTCTCAATCTTGCCTTCTTGTTTTATTTCATTGATTTGATCTTCAATCTCTAATATCCTCCTTTCTTCTGCTTGATCGATTTGGCTGTTGAAACTTGTGTATGCTTCATGAAGTTCTTGTGCTGTGTTTCTCAGCTCTATCAAGTGATTTATGTTCTTCTGTAAGCTGGTTATTCTAGTTAGCATTTCATCTAACCTTTTTTCAAGGTTCTTAGTTTCTTTGCATCGGGTTAGAACATGGTCTTTTAACTCAGAAAAGTTTGTTATTGCCCACCTTCTGAAGCCTGCTTCTGTCAATTCATCAAACTCATTTTTGTCTTGTTTTGTTCCCTTGATGGTGAGGAGTTGTGATCCCTGGGACTGGAAGAGGTGTTCTGGTCTTTGATGGTTTCATCCTTTTTGTGCTGGTTTCTTCCCATCTTTGTGGATTTATCTCCCTTTGATCTTTGAAGTTGGTGATTTCGGGAGAAATCTCTGAGTGGACGTCCTTTCTGTTGTGGTTGGAGCTGTATCTTTTTTTGGCCTGTAGAGGCACTGTTGGTCTGCCTCTGATTCAGGTTGCTGGGTGGGTGGTGTTCCCTTGAGTTTTGTTTGCAGGTGAGATTAGCCCCACCTTCCTGATGGTGTCTCTCTTTATCTGAGCTCGATCTTCCCACTTTGGGTCAAACTGGTGTATTTGCTGCCAGGCATTATGGCCTATTTCCCTGCTTTCAACTCTGCCTCTTTCTTTCTTTTTTTTTTTTTT